AGCGAGAGAGGGAACACAAGCAGGGGGAGTGGGAGAGGGAGAAGCAGGCTTCCCGCGGAGCAGGGAGCCCGATGCGGGGCTCGATCCCAGGACCTGGAATCATGACCTGAGCCGAAGGCAGACGCTTAACGACTGAGCCACCCAGGCGCCCCCTAACCTACACCAACTTACGGAAGAACCATATTGCCAGACAGCAGCAGTGCATTACACAGAAGTTTCTACACAGCATCCCTTGGATGCATGTCCATCAATAACTCATGATGGCCCAGTGATTTTGACAAATATTTTTAGATGCCATGATCCTACAATTAATCTGGTATCTTCTTTGACAAAAGTATTCACGGAAACCAACTTCTAAAAAATTGTACTTATCGCTGACAGTTACTCTCAGCCACCAGAAATAAATTTATAGGCTCCAATTTATAATCTTGGTTCAGCCAACTTGGAAAAAAATAATTCAATTATTGACTATCTACCAATTACCCCTGAGTTTAAAAAACAGAACCAAAATTTTAAAAAACTGCAGAGTGATAAAGTCAATAGCTGGTGGTTCTCATGCGGGTTTACCCTGACACACAGTATCACCCTGGGGTCTGCTGGTTTGCTGATATCCTGGCAGATTCTCTGCCTGTTTCCATTACTATATTTATCACACTTTTCCCCTCTCATCTGATAACAGAAAATGCCAGAAAGGCATAAGAAAAGAATATTTTACCTCCAGGCATTCCGATCAGCAATACTTACCTTAATAATTAATGTGAGTGTATACCAAGTTTTTGCTGTAACGTCAACATGTCCTAAAGCATATATGATCCATCCAGCTGCAACACAAAAAGATTATCCTAACGTGATATATTTTTAAAATTGAAATTACAGAATTACATAGCTCAGTTGGGGTTCTCAGGCAGCATTTGTATGTAGTAAAGTAAGCCTTAATAAAGATCTGCATTTCCAGATCTACCACTGATTTAAAACAAAACATCCTTCATTCAGGCATGCATTCCACAAGCATGTATTGGGATTCTACTCTGAGTCATATATCATATGTGAGCTCACAGGAGAACCAGTGACATAAACTTACAAACCAACCACAGTATAATGTGTTAACTTCTACAGTTCAGGCGTAGATTTACGCTCGATCGGATTGGATATAAAGAATAAGGAGTAGTGGTCAAAGGTCACTATAAGATTTCTAGCTGGCGTAACTGGTTACATGGGAATAGCATGAACTGAGAATTAGAGGGAGAAAACAGTGAGTTAATTTGGGGATAGATTATATTTAAATGCCTGAAAGAAACCAGAATAAGATGTTGAGTGGGCAGTTTAAAACACAAGAACAGTGGGGACTAAAGACCTGGATGTAAATTGCTGGTTCCAGTTCTGCTACTAACTCATTTTGAGACTTTGGGCAAATCAATTAACCTCTCAATTAACCTCTCCTTTGGGAAAATCAATTGGACTGGGCAATTACTGAGGAACATTCTAGATGGGTCATGCTATGATTTTGCAATCTTACTCTAGTGTCCTTATAACCCACTCTTTATTACTTGTGGAGCCCTTTCCACCTTAGGAAGAGGCAAAGAGTAGCAAACTATAGGAGAGAAGATTTTTTACAAATGCAGGGGGAAGCCAAGAGACGAGGAATCAAGACGCAGCACCAATATGGTCTGTTTCAACAGAGCGGGGTGTACTAACACCAAAGTGAATTGGACAGAATTCTACACGGACACATTCTAAGCACCTATCCTGGATAAAACGCTATTCTACATAAGACAAGGGCTGTTTAAGATGAATGGAAAAAAGTCAAGCTGCTTTCAAGTTATTAACTAAGTTGGGAAACAGGATTTCTCCATTTAAAGCAGACCCATCCTTCTCCTTGTATTTCCATAAGCACACTAGCACACTCTTGCAGTCTTGCTTTTTATTAATGGGGTTTCCTGGCCATTCTGTCCCTATACGTCCACCTCACCCCAGTCTATGCAAATCCTACCCTGACAGCCTAGCTCGGCTCTACCTGAAAAAACCCTGCACCATTTCCTTTAACCAGCTGCCTCTCTAATTAACTCTCCAATTTTGAATCATTTACATGTGTTGCATGTGCTTACATGTGTTGCATCTCTTCGCAGTTAGACGTACAAGCCCCTTGAGGTAAAGCGCTCTCATTACACAGTAAGTGACAAGCTCACCGTGGCATATTTCATAGCGAGTCATGTGCTACAGAAGAAGTCACTTACCTAGATCACCCGTAACTCTGTAGGTTCCATTTGCAAAAATCCAGAAGAAAACTCCTCTGGCGCCTCTAATCAAGATACCACCTTTGTTCACTCTTCCGGCAATGAACACGCCTCCCTTCTCAGGAGTCTCTATGTAAACATCACATGTTACAGTCAGATTGGACCTGCAGAATGAAACTGTTCGTTAGCGCTCTTAATTGTACTGCTCCGGATGCCGCACAAACGTGTCCCTTCACAGCCACACGCTTCCACACTTCTAACTGAGGTGAGTATGTGATTTGCTAAGTCTGTGCTTATAGCAGGGATGGGCTTCAAGAATCTTCAATGATGAAAAAAAAAATATCTTCATTGATGACAGTTTTAAGTTTTATGTGGCTGAAGTTAAGTCATTTCATTGCCTCTTTTAATGTTACTGGAAAATAACATTTATTGTTTTTAAGTCTCAACACATTTCTTGTCTCTCTACAATAAAACAACTTCTCATCCTAAGAATATAATGTTAAAAGAAGGCTTTTTTTTTTCCCCTAGGAATACATAAAAGATCCATTCAATTCAGAACAAAGAAAGTTTATTAAATTTCCATCAGCTAAGAGAAGCAGTGTAGGCAAAGCTAGGGGCCCCTAGGAGAACATAAGCTACTTTGGGGCTAATTTTTATCTTTAACCCTACCAAGACTTAAAAACTCCAGAAGAAAGATCTCAAATTATTTCTCTGCAAACACAGAGACAACTCTATATTGACTCTACAGCAGGTTTTCAAATTTGAACAGCACTGACATCACCTGGAGGGCTTATTAAATTCAGTCTGTTGGCCCCACCCCACAGTGTCTAATTCAGTAGGTTTGGGATGGGGCTCTTGAATCTGCCTGTCTAACAAATTCCCGGGTGATGCTGGTGCCCCTGGTCCAGGAATCCTACTCTGAGAGCCATTTTCCCCTACGGAGCATCTCTGTCCATACAGGGACAGTAAAACCCTGCCTGCCATTACTGATTGACAGGGGTACATCAAAGGAGGGGGAAAACTCAGCCAACCAGAAACTACTAGAGCTTTAATAGTGAGCTCTGCTCCAGGCTTCTCTTATAAATGCTACTAGATGCCTTCTGCAATGATACAACCATCCCCAAACCTACATGATCTCTGAAAATAATATACCTCCTACTCAAACTCTAACTGCAAACAGGAAAGAAAGCCTGCACAAAGCCAAGTAATAAAGCGAGCAATTTACCTAAAATATAACTGAGAATGTCAAGAAATATATTTTGGAAATGGGGGGAAAAGAGACCTAGAATGATGTGGCTTTTATATTTCTCAGTTTCTTATCAGTGAATTTTGCACAATTAAGATTTTACTTTGTAAAGAAAAATATAAAAAAAAGAAGTAGCTACAACAGACGTGCAACAATCCAGAAAATCCACAGTGAATCATCTAATCAAAGCTGGGCTACTTTACAGGAAAATCAGATGCAAAGTTAACTAAAGCCCAATCTGTCTTGTACCTCCTCCCAAGTAGAGGGAACTTTTCTCTCTGTAGACTGTCCCCAGCAGGAAACCATGAGGGATCAACATTGCTCCATACATCCCCTCCCTCTGTTCTGGTTCATCGGAAGTGTAAGAACTGTCAGCACCAGAAACTTACTCTATTTAGAGTCAGAGTGGGAGAAGATCTAACCTCCTTTTTTTACATCCCTTTCCAGAATAAATATTCCCACATCAGAACTTGCAGGCGATTTCGAAGACAATGAATGAAACAGAATGAAAGTGTGGTCTCGTCTTCCAGAGCCATAATCTCTTGGTAGTGCTGAGGACACAAAAACTGGCCAGTACATTAAGTAAATTTAACCAAAAGGATGCAGAGTTTGGATGTGTGCAGTGAAAGGTAATTCTGTGATTTTGTGATTGTCCTCAGGTCCCAACCAAAGCTTACTAACAAGATGGAAGTCTTGAGTAGCTTTGGGAAAGTCTACCCTCTATAGTCCAATTACTGTGCTGGTACTTAACTAAATCTAAGGATGATCGAGGAAGCCCCCCTGCAAACACATCCTAAGAACTGATGACAGTATGTGCACACTGAGAGCCGACTTTAAAATAGCGCTACAGGTAAACCACCCTCATCCTCCCTCTCCTCCTCTTAGGAATGAGACAGTGATTAAACTGTGAGGTGGTAGTCCAAAGGGTATGGGCTAAGCTAAGCACCAGACAGTCCTGGCCTCTCGCCCCAGTTCTAGAACTTACAAGTATGGGATCTTGGGTAAATCTTACCCTCAAGCCTTGGTTTCCCAATCCATAAGGTGGGGAGGATGATAACTCTGCCATCGGTAGTTATGGGAGGCTCATACCCGTGGGTAGTATGATCGAGTTTTCACTCCCTCCTTTCCCTACAGTAAGAGGGGATTGCAGCCAGAAAACAGAAATGAGCATGGCACATGTGGGGATCTCTGAACAGATCCCCAAATATTGGGAAATAGCATGTAATAAATAGGAAGAGCCCAAATGTGAAAGGGTCTTGGAAGTCAAGCATAGACGTGTAGATCTGACTGGGTCACTGGAGACAGTCACTGCATATTCCTGAGCAGGCGGTTGCACAATGAAAGCAGGGCTAAGAAAGATGAAAATAGTCCCTTCTTGAAGGGCATCGCTGCTCTTTCCTCATTCTTTCTCATTCAAACCATGTCACTCTTTCCCTCTTTCCCTGCTTCCCCCTCCCACTCCCTTACCCACTGCAGCAGTAAAGATGATCATTACTACTTAAATAATGCAAAATCTTCAAAGTTATAAAGTCGTTTGGTTACTCTTTGAATAGTGCTCTATCCCCTCTCTACTACAATTAAAGAGTCTCTCGATTTTTCTAGAGTCCCAGCCAGAAATAAGAGTTTGTCAGGGAAAGCCACTCTTCTGTAGTATTCACAAGCAAGGAGGATAACAGTTGTTGCAGAAACTTAAAGGTTTTCTATGGTGGCTGGCTTCCAAACCGGTAACCAAAATAATGGGGCCCATCCCTTAGACCAGTAAACCCAGCCACCTGTCTCATAATAAGACCACAGGTAGCAAATGAAAAACCACACATCCCACTGGCACGATCAGAAAATCCAAGGTAAAGTGTCTAGTACAGAGATGTGGGATAAATGGCATTTTTGCTGTATAAAAAAACAAGCCAGCAAGTTATCCTAAATTAGGCAAGCATTCTTCATTGTACCCATAAATCTCCATGGTACTGTACAGGTTCCGGAAACCGGGTAACTGAAAATTTCTCAAGACTTACAGCAGAGCTTAGAACTAGAATTTGGGATTTCTAATAGGGAGAAAGGCAATAGAGAAGGGATAAAGACTTTGTGCAGCATTCCACAGATAAATAAGTCAAGACTCTTTTCAGATTTACCTTCCCTGCCCGGACCGATTTCCAAGTAATAGATACGGCTGCCTGGTGACTTCGCGTTAACAGTTACTACCACTAAACCTGGAATGCTTGACTTCTGTGTTACAGAATTATACTAGTTAAGAGAAAAAATAGAAAAGAAACACCTGAAACAGGTATAATAAGTCAGTACATGAGAATCCCACAACTGACTTAATAGGGAAGGTGAAGTTTTGGTTTGTCATTACGTTTTAAGTGTAGAATAAATACGCATTGTCTCTTGAACAAATGCCTGAAGAAAAGAGCTGAATTCACTCACCAAGTAAAAGCTGATTTGCTTTTCACTATTGCCATCTACCGTCACCCGGCAAATAGATTTTCTACGAAGGCTGAAACAGTGTAAGTCTAGAATGGATCCAGCAGGTGGCAACACCAGATCAATAAATCAACTCTCCAGCAACACCAAAAACAACACACAAATCACAAAGCCTGTTTATAAATAAATATTAAATTATAACTGGATCCAAAAGTCCTCAATTTCTATATTAAAAGCAATCTGTTCCTGCAGCAATCACTATTAAACTGGGCAAATCTGAGGGAAGGACACTGAGGCAGCATAACCACGTGCTGGCTTGTGGCCATGACATTCAACAATTACCACACACCCATTTAGTTCTTGTACAAGGAAGACCATTGAAAAGTCTTCACTTCAGAATGTACCTGACAATATTACAAGGTTATTTCAGCTAGATCTACATTAAGGACACCAATTTTATATACCATTTGTAATCTCCTATAATACTGATGGTGTTGTATGCATCAGCAGCCCAAGTAATGGGCCGCTGATTGAGAACTTGGCGTAGCGTGAAGCGATGCTCTCCAGGGTCTTCAATGTTCGTAAAGTATTCAAAGACGCCAGTCTGATCAGCAAAATTCGGAGCTTCACTAAAAAATGGGTAATCTGTTCAGAACACAATTAAATTCTCTGGTTAGTATAAAATCCTCCTCTCTGATATTTTATGGCATATTTTGAAACACTTTTGAAAAGTCCTAAATAAGTAAATGATACTTATAACAAGCGGAAGTTTAGGAGTTAGGTTAATAAAGAGATTGATTTTTGTATCATCGTTATTACTCAATACCAACATGATCAGTTTGATAGACAGACTTTACATATTTAATCCTTGCAACTGCGTAAGAGGAAAGATCATGAGTTTTAGAGAAAGGCAGACCCAAGGTTTAAATTCTAGTTCAGTCTGTCCTCCTGGCCAAGTTGTTTAACTACCCTGTGTCTCAAGTACCCTCCTTTCTAAGTGGGCATGAGGACAAGAGAATTAAATAAAAGAACGCATGTAAAGTGTGTACATAAACCAGCACCTAGCCAGGGCTCAATAAGAGATAGTTTTGTTATTTCTAGTATCTGCCAAATGAGGTTCTACATCCCTGGTCACAGTCATCAGCTGACAGAAGATTAGAAAAGCCTCACTATATCAACTATAGAATTTACAAATTACAAATTTTCTTCTATTTCTAAAATGAAGCAAAAGCAGTTGGGCCTAAGCTATCTATCAATCTTTTCTTTTAGTTTTATTAAATTAAATCACAGTCTTAGAATGACAAAGGCTATAGAAGAGCAATTTTAGTCATAATCTTATACCTAATTTCATACTTCATGCTTTTCTGTGTTTTCATGTTCATCATTTGAGAAATTAAGAACCACGTAAAGGAGTGCTACGGCCTGACTTAGAGTTCTTAGTTTATTTTGTAGTCAATGAAGCATTATACTTTAGATTTGAAGGTTTAGAATTGCCTTTCAGTTTTCAGGTCATAGAATAAGTAATTCTGGTATTGGGGGAACTTCCCTCTTGTTAACTAGGCCATATCCCACACAGACTCCTTTACTGAAGACAAGAGGAATTACCTTTGCCAACACCGAAGTGAGCAACAGATTGCAAAGACATTCCTGGTGGCATAATTCATGGATTCATCTAAGAGGCCACTTTAGAGAATCGCAAGAAAACAAAGCACAGAGCCCCCCTGAGGGTCCCTGTTGTCCGTGTTATGCAAATAACTGAGAGGACTCCAGTACACAGTCCAAAGGGCCTTATACTGCAATTAACCAAGATATCCCTTCTGGGGAAAGGGAGCGGAGACCCTGCAACCGTGAGGGTGACTGGAAGGGGGTAGCAGGAGTCTCCAACCAGCCATGCTGGAAAGAGCAGCCCTGCAGACAGGAGGTTCAAGAGTGCTCTCAATGGCAGTCCCCCTCCCTGCTTCTCTCCTACAGCTGCGGATTTGAGGAGCAAAGAAGAGGGCCATCTGACCCTGTCTGTGAGATCCAGAAGCTGTACGTCTCCTGGTCAACAAGTTCTGGCACGTACTGAGTGATCTGGGGTTATACCCACAAGGCGGTGCCTTCCAACTTTTCAAGCAGTTTTCCTACATTACCTAAAATCAAAAGCTTTTCTGCAGCTTTAGGACAGATCTTCCTAGAAAACCAGGAGAGTGCAAGTATAAAATGCCCGGGTAGATAATGAGGTGAAGCACCCAAGGGGAGCATAACTGCCCTCAGCACGCAGTCCACTAGCCCTGCAGAAAGTGAAGGACCTTCACCTCCACACTCATGGAGGAAACCAGGAATGGCTTTCGTGAATGTGGGTAACAGGGCAGTGGCAGGGTCACAAACCTTAAGCTTCACCAAAACCAATAGCTTTCATTCTGACAATGACTTCTATGTTTTTTCTGGCGCTGAAAAATACAGGGCTCTCAAGCTGAGAGTCTCCTTGAGGAAATACCAAAATGAGGTCTCAGTTACCATGTGGACGTTCAGAGCTACACTTTACAGGTGTTCCATCACACACCCGTCTGACAGGTAGAAATCTACCCACTACTGCTGGAAATGGAAACCACACTAAGTTTTAGTAAAAACAAACAAAACTTACCAAAATCGAAATCATCTTTATAAATTCGTGGGAAGGGCTGGGACTTTGGAGGCAGCGGGTAGCTGCCCTTGCCCCCGGTTGTGAGAGTGGTGAGCGTGAAGAGCTCGTCCTCCTGCAGCTCCAGGGTGAAGGTGCCACTGCTGTCGAGAAGCTGGAAAACGAAAATGCAGAGGTCAAAGCCAGGTGCTTTGGCTCATGTCATCTGGGCAAAATCAACTTCTTGAAAAATCAACTTAAAGAAAAGCCAGACTCACTTCTGCTAAAACTTCATAACCACTCATGAAGGCCACACCCAAAATCAAGGCCTTGGGGGTCTTTTTCCTTATTTAGAAGACTTTATAAAATTATACTTTGTAGACAGGATTTTAAAAGAATTTCCCTCTGTGGAGGGAAGGAGGACTAGATGACACCAAAATTTCTATTTGTCTATTCTTTGCCATTACACTGTAAGCTCCTCAGAGCCTCTTTATATTCAATACACATAAATAAGAGATCTGCTTATTTACTTTTTAGGACTTTACTAAGGGAGAAAAATCCATAAAATCTCACTGATGACTCAGCTGTTAATCACAGAAAACCTTTTACTATTAAGAAAAAAAAAGGTCCGGGCGCCTGGGTGGCTCAGTTGGTTAAGCGACTGCCTTCGGCTCAGGTCATGATCCTGGAGTCCCAGGATCGAGTCCCGCATCGGGCTCCCTGCTC